ATAACTTCACAGCAGCAGTGACAAACATTGACTGGCACACTGAGCTAGAAATCTATACAGATATTGACGAATGTATTAATAATTTTCTAAAAAAAGGCCCAATACCTCTACAACAAGCACTGCCCCAAAAAAACTAAACAGATGACAGCTAAGAGACTGAACAGTCCCTGGCTAACACCCAGTATCCTCAAATCCATAAATACAAAACACCTATACGAAAAACAGTACAGAATGGGTCACATAACCAGAGACCAAACAAAACGTTACTCGTCAATCCTAACCAGCCTGATAAGAAGGGCTAAAAAACTGTATTATGAGAACAGATTATCCAACTTATGAGGTGATATAAAAAATACCTGGAAAACCCTATCAGAAATTCTAGGAACAAAAAAGATATCACGAAATAGCAAAATTGAATTAACAAAACCAGATGAACCCAAACTCCCACCAACTGAAACAGCACTATAGGAAAAAACCTTGCCAATAAAATCCCAAGCTCAGATACCCCACCCAATGACTACCTCATTGGCAACTACCCGAACACACTGTTCCTAGCTCCGACTAACCCTACTGAAGTCTCCCTTATTATCAACACACTAAAAAACAAGGCATTTAAATACCTTACCACCCTTTATATACAAAAAAGCATCACAAGTACTATCACCAATCATTGCAACACTCTTTAACAAATCCATAGAATCCTCTACCTTCCCTACAGTTCTCAAAATACCAAGGGTCACCCCGATCCATAAAGGAGGAGACCAAACAGAGTTGAATAACTATAGGCCAATATCCAACTTACACCCTCTCTCTAAAATCTTTGAAAAATTAATTCATAAGCGAATCTATTCCTACCTCATCTCCCACAACATACTCAACCCCAGTCAATTTGGGTTCAGGCCTAATAAAAATACTAATGATGCTATTATACACATGCTGAAACACATATACACTGCAATAGAGAAAAAAGAAGTCCCACTGGGGATCTTCATTGACTTACGTAAAGCTTTTGATACAGTTGACCATGACTTCCTCCATATAAAATTGTCGCACTATGGTATAAGAGGGCACTCCCTCAACTACCTCAAGTCTTACCTCAGCAACAGAAGCCAATATGTGTACACAAACAGGGCAAACTCTTCCGCACAGCCAATTACAGTTGGTGTCCCACAGGGAAGTGTCCTAGGCCCTCTTCTCTTTCTCATATACATAAATGACCTACCAAAAGCATCGCAACTACTCAAACCCACATTATTTGCAGATGACACTACAATTTTTCAAGGTCCTTTCCATCCTGAAACCAAACAAAATCATCTCTATTTCTGTAATATGTCTTTCATTCTATCAAATGAAATCAAGAAAGCAAGAATACAACCATAAACATTATACGAAAATACACCTCAAAGTCGCCGTTTTAATCCAAAATCATAGACGGAGTTTTTTTTCTCATTATGCACTGCGTGCTGCAGGATTTTTTTTATACTATGCACACTGACCACACAGACCAGTCTAATATGCATTTAGGAATGCACTGACATTACTTATACAATTATTACAATAATGCAGTAAATCGTCTAATTTTTGTGAATAAAAATTCAAAATGGAAAGCAAGAGATGCCTGGGGACCTAACTAATGAACAGAGAAAATGTGGTTTTTAGTGAGAAATAGCAAATATCTAACTTAAGGTTAAAGAAGCACACAGGAGACAAGAAACTCAGGATGAACCGATAACCATAAATGAAACTGAAAGAAACCCAAAACATTTCTTATGTCAAATCTAAGGCAAAAACAACATCCAGTATTGGATCCCTGCTTAGACGAGATGGGATACAGATGACAGCAAAGAAATGAGTGAGATACTAAAGTTCCAATATGACATGGTGTTTGGTGAGCCTTTAACCCGACTAAGAGTCGGCAGCCTAAATGAATTTTATATGGCCGAGACTCAAAAAGTGGTCAATTTAAAAATCTCTGATATTATCATAACACCACATGAATTTGAAAAGGCAATAAATTTGAGAACAGGGGTCTTGACTCTAAAAGGTTTAGTGCAATATATCATATCATATATATACCTTACTACATGAACTAGACAAAACTTAAAGGTGGAGGCCTGGTCACAGACCGGGCCGCGGGGGCGTTGACCCCCGGAACTCTCTCCAGGTAAACTCCAGGTAAACTCCAGGAAATAAATGGTATAAAATACCGACACAGTGGAAATATAAACACACAAGCAGTTTAATGTGATCCTTTATTGACAACGTTTTGCCCACACATTGGGCTTTTTCAAGTCACAAACAAATCTGTTTGTAACTTGAAAAAGCCCACTGTGTGGGCGAAACGTTGTCAATAAAGAATCACATTAAACTGCATATGTGTTTATATTTCCAAAACTTAATGGTACAGAAAGCAAATACATTAGACCCCCAGTTTTCATAAATACATAATCCATTCCAGAAGGTTGGCTGAAATCCGAAATGGCCGAAAACCAAAGTAACATTTCCCATAAGAAATAATGTGAATCCAATTAATCTGTTTCAGACACCCACAAATATTAACAAAAAATAAATTTTATAGAGAATAACTATAGTTTTACATACATAAAACAATGAGAAACAAATATAAATGACTAATTTTAATGAGAAATGAACATTACATACCTTTATAGAAGACTCTTGTTGGTGTGTAGTATTTATTTGTAGTCCAAGAGGGACTACATCCCAGGCGTATACCTACTGGCTACATACACTGCGACCTACAGCCATATTATTACCATTGACATACCATGTTCACTGAGTTTAATCATTTCTAACAACTACCTTTGGATGCCATCATAAACAAAGGGAGAAGTAATAAATAATGCATGTCGAGAATTGTAAACAAAATCCTTATGTACTATTAAGGGCGGTTACTGGGCCAACGCAGATTCACACACGTTTTCTCTGATGCTGGCTCAGAGAAAACGTAATGTTTACCCTCCACCCGACCCCACCCCTCGATAGCATATAAACATTGCATGTTTATATGCTATGTAACATGTTTCTTAAAGAATATAATTTTGAAGAAAATATCATAGACGGATTAATGAAAATGTCTATATTAACGTAAAATACGACATTTAACCCTTTGAGGGTTTTCGTCGTACTAGTACGTCTTACGCGTAGGGGTTTTTGACGTACTAGTACTCATAAATTCTAGCGGCCTCAAATCTAGTGGGAGAAAGCTGGTAGGCCTTCATATGAAAGAATGGGTCTATGTGGTCAGTGTGCACAGTCTAAAAAAAATCCTGCAGCACACAGTGCATAATGAGAAAAAAAAAACTTTTACCATTTTTTTTTAATAAATCAGCGACTTTGCAGTGTATTTTCGTATGGTATTTATTGTTGTATTCTAGTTTTCTTGGTCTCATTTTATAGAATGGAAGACATATTACTGAAATTGAGATGATTTTGACTGGTTTTACAATGAAAGGTGCCTTGAAATTGAGCTCAAAGTAGCAGAAATGTTCGATTTTTTACCAAACTTCAAAAGTAAACAAATCGTGCCAAGCGTGCAATACACGTTCAACTGGTGAGTCTAATATTCTTTCACAAGTGCACCAATAATATTTTATACCATTTTTTACACTAATGCAGTAGTCTGCATAACAGTAAATCTTATATTTTTTGTGAAAATAAAAATTCAAAGTGGAAAGCAAAAGAATATAAGAGGGGCCTTGAGACGTTGACTATGACTAGAGGAAATGTCGTTTTAGTGCCAGGAATGTCTTTCTTGTTTATTCTGGACCCTATTTGGAAATTGGCATCTTTTGAAATTTGTGTGAAATTGGCCAAAATTGCTAAATTCTGACCACTGTACTGGATAGTTGAATTTATAAATGGGTGGTTTCTTGCACCCATTCGATAGAAAAAATGGAGTTCTAGCGAAATATTCATGTTTTTTGTCGACTAGTACAGTGAAATTGGCCGAAAATGGGGCTCAAAGTGGGCAAAATCGCCGATGCGTAAACATCGCCGAGACCGCTAACTTTGCGAGAGCATAATTTCGTAAGTTTTCTATCAAATTTCAAACTTTTGGTGTCGTTATGATCGGGAAAAGATTCTCTATCTTTTCATAAGAGAAAATAATTTTTTTTTTTTTTTAAATTTGGCCGACCCTGAGAACGAGTTTCGGAGAGGGCCTGTCGACCCTCAAAGGGTTAACATGCCCAAGAGTGATTATTACATAATACTAGTATTACTATGGTGTAAAGACTAGAGGGACACTCTTAGTGAACAAAGTGATCAAAGGCAAGTTTATATGCTATGTAACATGTTTCTTACATAATTTTGAAGAAAATATAGATAAATTAATGAAAATGTCTATATTAATGTAAAATAAAACATTTAATGGGTCCAAGAGCGAGTCACAAACGCATGAGCGACCCAGGTGGACGCGTCTGGTACTGCTGATTTCCGAGTTGATGCACGAAACCCGGGGCTAAATTTTGCCGAAAAAAGTGCTCAAAATCTGAATTGTATGATTTCTGCACCAGCTGAAAACCGGGGATCCATTGTATAAGAATAATGTGCATACTATAATACAAAAGTCTACATGGGTGTTAATTGACAGTAGAGAAAAATGCTGAAATATCAATATCATATCAATATCAGTTCCCATATGACAATATGACAAATGTTTTCCTTTCCTTTTTTTTTATAAACTAGCCAGAATTGAGTTCTAGAGGTAAGAACCACAATACTGTACCTGTGCTCTGTAGGACGGGTGGGGATATGATTCAATGGGTCAGTGTAACTGTGAAATTCATGTACTTATGGAAGACAGCTAGGGAATAAATAATGGAATATACATTTCATTCTGTCTAGCTGTCTTAGTGGGACCAGTAGGTTACAGTGAACAAAATATTGTTTAAAAAATTTGAAAATGTGTCCTTAGCAATTATATAAACTTCAATAAGCTTTAAAGAAAGAAGAAGACATTCCATAGCTGAGTCCCTTACTTCCATGGGTATAGTTGCTCCTCCACACATTGGGTCTATTACAACTTCCCCAGGCTGTGGTGCTGCTAGTCGAATCATATTGTAGCAGATTGTTGAGCGCAAATTGGTTCTGCCAAAGCTTGTGAGGTTACGTTTAAACATAGGTTCCCTGGTCAGGCAAACTGCTGCATATACAAACTCTGAAAAAATAGCATAATATAAACTAATTTAGGAGAATGTAGTGTTAGTGTGCACCAGAGGTTTATGGATATAGGAAGGTGGGTGCAGGAGGGAAGAGGAATGATTGGTAGAATGATGAGGTAAAGAGAATGGTAAGAGGTTAACTTCTGAGAGGCTTTCACAAATAGACATGATATAAATTAAGTAGGTTATATGAAGAGTAAAAGAGAGATGAAAAAAAAGTTTTGGAGTGAGATTAATTGGTTGGAAAAGTCTAGGAAACAAATGGATTTAACAGTTAAAAACAGAAGGGAGTTATTAGATGGGGAGTTGGAGGTATTGGGAAGATGGCAAGAATATATTGAGGAGCTGTTAAATGTTGATAAAGAGAGGGAGGCAGTGATTTCATGCATTGGCCAGGGAGCCATAACATCTTTTAGGAGTGAGGAAGAGCCAGATGTGAATGTGGGGGAGGTGCATGAGGCTGTGGGGTCAAAATAGAAATGTTAAAAGCAGGTTGAGATATAGTTTTGGAGTGGTTGGTACATGCTAGTACATTGGACACACATACAGCACTTGTGTACTAGTATGTCAGACACAGTTTAAGGGTTAAAGAGGATCATCAGTGGCATGGCATCCCTTATTTTGAACGCTCTCATTATCCATCCACCAATCCTATCATTTCCTTGAAGATGTGACTGACATTTTTGTCATCCTTGAAGGTGAGATCCTCTAACATTAACACTCCCAAGTACAGTGGACCCCCGCATACCGTTGGCATCACATAACGTTAAATCCGCATACCGATACATTTTATCGCTAAGATTTTGCCTCGCATACCGCTAAAAAACCCGCTCAAAGCTATTCATCCGAGACGCGTCTAATGTGCAGCCTGAACCAGCCTCACATGATCTGCCGGTGGCATTGTTTACAAGCCAGCCTCCACAGTAACATCCAAGCATACAGTTGGAACATTTCGTATTATTACAGCATTTTTGGTGATTTTATCTGCAAAATAAGTGACCATGGGCCCCAAGAAAACTTCTAGTGCCAACCCTGTGGTAAAAAGGGTGAGAAATATTATCGAAATACTGTGGTACCATGGTCAACTGCTGCTGCTGCTGTAGCACTGTCAGCTGCTGCCGCTGCTGTAGCACCATCAGCTGCTGCTGCTGCTGCTGTACCACCGTCAGCTGCTGCTGTTGCTGTAGTACCATCTGCTGCTGCTGTAGCACCATCTGCTGCTGCTGTAGCACTGTCAGCTGCTGCTGCTGCTGCTGCACTGTCAGCTGCTTCTGCTGCTGCTGTAGCACTGTCAGCTGCTGCTGTAGCACTGTCAGCTGCTGCTGTAGCACCGTCAGCTGCTGCTGCTGCTGCTGCTGCTGTAGTACCATCTGCTGCTGCTGTAGCACCGTCTGCTGCTGCTGTAGCACTGTCAGCTGCTGCTGCTGCTGCTGTACCACCGTCAGCTGCTGCTGCTGCTGCTGTAGTACCGTCTGCTGCTGCTGTAGCACCGTCTGCTGCTGCTGTAGCACTGTCAGCTGCTGCTGCTGCTGTAGCACCGTTGCTGGTGTGGCTTATTGAGAACACAAAGAAACAATTAACCCCAGATGGTTAGCCACCCAGGATAACCCAAAAAAGTCAGTGTCATCGAAGACTGTCTAACTTATTTCCATTGGGGTCCTTAATCTTGTTTCCCAGGATGCAACTCACACCAGTCGACTAACACCCAGGTGAACAGGGAAAAATGCCTGGAACTAGTGCTTGTATTGGTGAATTTAGAGCCAGCAGAGGTTGGTTTGAGAGATTTAAGATTCGTAGTGGCATACACAGTGTGATAAGGCCTGTTCTGGAAGAAAATGCCAAACAGGACCTACAGTACTCAGGAGGAAAAGGCACTCCCAGGACACAGTGTCTCATCAGTCATTGCTGCATCTTCAATAAAGGTAAGTGTCATTTATTCTTCATTTAGTAGAGTAGTACATGCACAATATATATTGTGCATGTACTACTCTACTATTGTGTATGTATCCTTCTCTTTGTGTGTAGGAAAATGTATATTTCATGTAGTAAAAAAAAAATTTTCATACTTTTGGGTGTCTTGCACGGATTAATTTGATTTCCATTATTTCTTATGGGGAAAATTCATTCACATAACGATAATTTCGCATAACAATGAGCTCTCAGGAACGGATTAATATCGTTATGCGGGGGTCCACTGTACTACACATTAACTTTTCGCTCTATTGTGTGGTTCGAGTTTGCAGTGTACTCTGTTCAAGCTATTATTTCTTAGCTTTCCATAATGGAGTAACCGAAGTTTTTTACTTACTGAACATCATATTGTTTTCCATAATCCACTAGAAAATTTGGTTTATATCTGCTTGAAGATTTAGTGTGTTTTCAATGGATAACATTCATGCAGATTCTAGTATCATCTGCAAAATTATTATTATCATGGGGGAGTGCTAAACCTGTAGGGATTATACAGAGCCTGTAGGGAAGGGATGGAAGGTATTCAGGCTCAATTCATGGAACTGAAGCACAGATCCAATTCCCTCGATCAAGAGCCCCTCACCAGCATCAAGGAACCTCACGAGGGGATTATCTGCAAAAGACGACATGGTGGTATGGTTTACATCTGTGTCTGTCTGATATGGAAGCAAGTATTGTACCTTGTGAAACAGAGCTTTCCATTGTTGCCACCTCTGACTCAACTCTGTTTACCATTACTCTATGTTCTATTGGTTGGAAAGCTGAAGATCCATCTGCCTATTTTTCCATTTTGTGCACTATTACATCATAATTGCACTTGTCAAAGGCCATAGCAGTCTTTGTTTACTACATCTGCATTCTGTTTGTCTTCCAGTGCATTCAAGACCATGTCGTAGTGGTCTAGTAGTTGCAAGAGACAGGAGCAACCTGCTCTAAGCCCAAGTTGCCCTGGGTTGTGCAGCTGTTGGGAATCCAAGTGGTTGGTGATCATGCTTTTCAGAAACATGAAAAAGAGGAGTGATTGGTGGAATAATGAGATAGACAGTGGTAAGAGAGACAAAGTTAGAATATGAGACATTTTAACAAAGCAGAAGTGATACAAGGAGGATGGAATATATGGAGAGCAAAACAGAGGATAACAGAGTGGTGAGGGAGTGTAAAAGGAGATTATATAAAAAAGCGGATGCATAATTCCTTTGTATAGAGGAAAGGGGAACAAAAGAGTGTAAAAATTATAGGGAAATAAGCCTTCTGCATATACCAGGTAAAGCGTATGGTAGTTATCACTGAAAGACGGAGAATAGGATTGCAGGGTTTCAGAAAGGGTAGGGGATATGTATATCAGGATATCAGGTGCTTATGTTGAACCATATAACTGAACAATATTTAGTAGGCTGTAAGAGAGCAACCACCTATTGAGGTACTACCATCATGTAGTAGGTTTGTAGATATTAACCACCTAGGGAGGTACTACCATCATGTAGTAGGCAGGTAGACAGCAACCACCGAAGGAGGTACTACCATCACGTAGTAGGTTTGTAGACAGTAACCACCTAGGGAGGTGCTACCATCATGTAGTAAGCTGGTAGACAGCAACCACCTAGAAAGGTACAGGAAGGCCCCACTTATACGGCGGGTTAGGTTCCAGGCTACCGCCGTAAAGCGGAAACCGCCGTAAAGTGGAACACCTTTTTTTTCCATTAAAAATGCATACAACACTAGATAACAAGTTTACCACTAAACATATAGTATGTTAGCATAGAACCCAGGCATCAAAAAAACATAAAAAAGTACAATATACACATAGTGCACTCATTACTTACCTTAAAATATTTATAGTCTTAATCTAGGGTGAGACAAGTAGTATTTATTGTAAGAAATCAGTGTGGTTATGTATTGTAATAAGCCAGGGCTACCTCACAGGCCACCCACCCACACTTACTATTCTATGATATTTAAGCATCCCAGAGCGATAAAAAATGTATATACAGTTCACTATTCTTACCTTAAAATATTTGTTGGTCTTAATGTAGGGTCGGAGTAAGTAAATGAGATAAAACGAATATAAATGAGAGAAAGAATGAGTACATGAGAGAGTACAGGCGCAGAGTTATGTAATCAACCAGGCTCCCACATCTTATTATTTATGTTTATTTATTCTATTGTGGGGTGTATTTATCCATCTTTTTATTGGTTATGTATCGTGTTTATTACCACCAAATGCCCAAATATCATGGATGGATTAATGAAAATTTGTATATTACCGCAATATACGGACATTTAATGAGATCGGTGACTATTGTTATTATACCCACTTGTGGAAGTCGTTGCATACCACAGCTCACATTTATGTTTTTTATTCTACTGTGGGGTGTTTTTTTCTTATTTATATGTATTGCTCGTGTTTATTATATTAATTTGAAAAAAAAATATCATGGAATGGAATTAACGAAAATGTGTATATTTACCGTTAATATACGACATTTAATGAGACCGGTGACTATTGTTATTATGGCGTCACTTGTGGAAGTCGTCTGCTCACATCTCACATTTATGTTTATTTATTCTACTTTGGGGTATTTATCTTTTTTATATGTTATGCATCGGGGTTTTATTATAAAATTTTGAAAAAAAAAAATATGGATGGATTAATGAAAATGTGTATTTACCGTAATTACGACATTTAATGAGACTCGGGATTTGTTATTATGGCGTCACTTGTGGAAGTCGTCTGCTCACATCTCACATTTTATGTTTATTTATTCTACGTGGGGTGTATTTATCTTATTTATATGTATGCATCGTGTTTATTATAAAATTTTTGAAAAAATATCATGAATGGATTAATGAAAATTTTGTATATTACCGTAATATACGACATTTAATGAGACTCGGTGAGTATTGTTATTATGGCGTCACTTGTGGAAGTCGTCTGCTCACATCTCACATTTATGTTTATTTATTCTACTGTGGGGTGTATTTTCTTATTTATATTTTTATGCATCGTGTTTTTTATATAATTTTG